ACCAATTTTAAGCTTTCACACTGATATCTAAAGTACTAATTTCCATTTTAATGAAACTTAGTACAAAGATGCTATAGGACAATGTACAAACCTAATTAGTTTGGGGTAAAACTCTGTTCATATTATTTCCCCAATTAGCATAATAATTCATAATTTTTTGGTTCTAATCACATTTCAATTAAACTTGGTACATAGAGTTTTTGTTACATTGCGCACACCTCATTAGTTTTACAATCAAATCTGTTCATGTTAATTTTCTGATTTGCATAATTAGTTTTCAGCTAAGTAATTTCAAATTATATTTAATGTGTCTCCAATACTCTCAGCACATGGGAGTTCTTTCTAAGCTTTCTTTGATTGTAACAGGTACAACTTACTAAAATGAGTGAGGGGTTGACATTTTTCAACAGATTTAAGCAACACCCAACTTGTGATTTTCAAAATTACAACCCCTATGAAATAGTAATCCCAAACCATGCGCCCGTCACTCAAGTGGCGCCGACAAGTCTAGATCGGGCAAAGTATTTTGCAAAGTTGCAAGTCATTTTTCTAACTGACTGTCCGAATAATTCTCAGAACGGCTGTATACCGAACTTGAAAATGAATATGAAACTGGGACCAACTTCAGCATCATGTTTCTCTGGCCATATTGCTTTGAACGCAGCCATATGGTATTCTAAAGATCAGCATGTCTACTTGGAAGGTCAATATTTGAATTTAATTATCAAATTGTAAGTGGCACAGTGCCTTTTGTTCATTATGTGTAGGTGTGGGCAAATAAAGTGTTACTTTACTGTGAGGTGAAATGTGTACTAGTTTAATATTTGGTATAAAACAGTCAAATGCAACGAAACTTTACGTTTCAACATTTTTTCAAGCAACACATGCCAATTTTCTTGAGTTTGATTTCTCAAGCAAAAATGACCAACGGCATGTATGTAAAAATCATAGCAAATATGTGACAATATTAATTTAAAAAAATGGTGAAATAAATATTTGCAATGTTGTTTATATGACCTGAGAAAAAACTACTTGCAAATATTTCTTTGTACCTCAGTAATAAACCATAAATTACATAAGTTAAGTCATGTTCTCCTCCAATAAACAAATCATACAGTTTGTTTTACAGTAATCAAAACCACATGTATATATAAAAGTATGAATCACTGTTTTATGAATAGCTTTCATTGCATAAATCATTTTTGTTTATTTGTGTGGATTGTAGGAGGAGTACAGGAACGATGAATGACTTGAATAGTGGAGATAATGATCACATGGAACGACGCAAGAAACTACCCAATGTACCATCACTTCCAAATACAGGTATGTCACTTTAATATTGGAAATTAACAAATATTGCAGTGTCAGGTGACTTGATTGGTAAAGATCATGTGATGCTTTAGTAGTTACCAGTAATATATGATGTGTTATTTTCTGTTGTTAGGCAAACTAACAGATGCTGATATTGCAGCAATGAAAGCACGTAGTAAGAAAGGTTCCAGTGGTAGTAGCCGAAAAGTTCCAGGTGATGTACCTCTAATGGCAAAGGGTAATTGAGATTCCAGTCTGTGTTTGTAGGTAAGTGGCATGATACACAAGAAATGTCTTGGGAAACTTATGCCATGTCAAGTGAAAATTTAAGAAAGCAAACATGGTTAGTGGTTTTGCATATCATTTAAGTACAGCATTTAGGCATTTAGTTGTTGCATCAGTCTCATGATTTCATTCAATGTTTTGAGCAAGTTTCATGTATATTTATTTCAGCCATGGAGCCAGAAAGAAGTCAACTTTCATTGGACTAATGTGACAAAATATTGACTGTTCCTGAGTGTCACTTATGACGTATTTTAAAGTCTGTATATGGCTTGGACAAAATGGAACTTATTACGTGTTGTACTGTTGCTGAACATTTACTATTCTGTGGAATTTACTCTGTGATGTATGATGATATTTGTATGACAGTGTTCTGACGGTTTAATCTTAAGGTATATCCATACATCCCTGGGCCTCATCTCAATAAATTCAGAATCTTTTAAAAAAGAGCCCTTAGAGATGTTCTTTGTAGTTTGCACTATTTTACATAATACTCTTGTTAAGATGGCCTGTGTTATTGCGTAACTAACTCATTTGCCTGTCTGATTATAGGCAAGTATAAATATCTTTTGTTATTTTCTTATATCAAGAAAGCCAGCAAGTTTTGGTTCCATTCTTTAATATCTGTACATTTCTTTATAAATTAAATACGAAACATATGCTAATATTTTTTTTTGCCACTACTATATGAATGAAAGTATTTACAGCAAATTGTGTATTTCTGTGATTTTGTGGTCTTGTCTTGGTGGACGAGGTGCTCCGTTGCCCCTCTTATATCTGTGTACATTTTTTAAAGTAATTTTTCCAACAATTGTTTGAGCTGATAATAGTAAGTTAAATAAACCACTGCAAGATTTTGAATATACTAGATTTGTATCAATGCTGCTATTAGTCTAGAAAAACAAATGTAAAATTACTCTTCAGTCTAGTTTAACAGCTTGGCTGCAGCATGATCCCAAAGAGCAACCACTAAAAACATCTTCCAGATTCTCACTATATGTATTTCAGTACACAGTTTAACTGCCACCTATTGTTGTGAAATATTTGGACTATGTTTGTTAGTTCAATCTTGACATCTATTGCTGCTGCTAATGATTTTATCAATGAAATTACCCCTTTTGATTGTACATGTGTGTGCTTCACTGCACTTTAAAGCTTATTTAGAGATCACAATTCAGAAAACGTGTAATTTATCACCCTCCTACCATAGGGTAGCAGAACGTGTCTTTAAATTAGATATATAATATTGTATTTCCGAAATATTTAAGTTTTTAACAGAATCAACAGTTGGCTGTAATGTGTGTGTTCGTATACTTGAGACAAACCATTATTGAATTAGGGTGGGTTGGAGGGGTACATCTTAAATAAGCATGTGAGGGTGGGATGTGATATATATTTGAAAAGTATTACAATTGTGAGAAAATTTGGCATTCTTTGACTATTTCTTGTTCTAAATAGTAGTTATGTGGACATGTACTGCCATTCATTGTTTTGTCCTTGCGTCTACTGTGACATAGTATGTGAGACACTCAATCCATGTACACCTCTACCTTATAACCACCATGAAGATTATGCTTCTGTTGTACACATCCATCCTGAGATTATTGCTGATCTTTCTCTCTGAAGGGTAAAACACTTTTCATTAGATAATTCCATGACGTGTACTACCCCCTAGATATCCATTGACAAATACCTTTTTCTTGATCATTCATTTGGGTGTACAAGCCCATTACCCAGTTTGGCAGACATTGCCCAACCCAAGATAATTCAGTGGGTATGCACTCAGTAAACAGCTAGCTGCCCTTGGGTTATCTAGTTCAATGGGTAGTTCACGTCATCACTAGCCAATTACTACTACTATGTTGATAATGGTTATACATTTTTTAACTTAGGCAAATATGGGTATAATCACCACAATTCTAGCTCCCACAGGACATTGTTAATGGTACGACCTTGGTTACCTAGAATCGTTAGGCACTATGGGTAGCACCACTATGCAATTTCAGTTCTTTCCTGCCTGGCTAGCACAGGGATTTCAACTTATCATAAAATTCTAGTGTTCTATCATGCATTTTTAGTTGTGCACTCCAAAGATAAATGATTTTGCTGGCTGTATCCATGCCATGCCATTCAGCAACAAATGTTGTATGTACTATGAAATGAAATAGATTACTTCTTTTGTCGGCAGCCATCTCTCCTGCATAACTGCCTCAAATTGTCAACTGGCAGATACCCTGCTACGGGAACAATTAGATTGGCAATTCCTGTTTTCTGTAGCTAGGTATCCTTTACTTTTTTTTCTTGCAACGTTCTTTGTGCCTTCCCTGTATGCGAACATTATTCTTTTCTGGTATGTCGGAAGTGCATTGAACTATGTATATTCCTGTCGTTTCATTGTCTTGCTGTCTTCACATCAATTGTTGTCAGCAAGGACCCACTCCACTGAGTCTAGTGGAAATTTATGTTGGACTATGTATCCTGCCTGGTCCTCACACGTTGATAGTTTGTCTTCGGGTAGGAATAGACGTCCAATGGTAACAACTAAACAGAGTATGTGTTGAGTATTCTGCTAGTTTGCCCTTATTACCTTACCTGTCATAGTGGTGTGTGCTCAGTTTTTCAGGTAAGGCAGTGTTCTTGTACATTATTGGTCATTGAAAGTTGTTCTCTCGGGTTCTGACAATTTGAATGTAGTCTTTGTTCTGTACTTCATTCAGTATACCTTTATATAGAACAGTTTGACTGTCTATACTGATGCACATCTGGCTTGGATTAGTACTGACAGGTATTGATCATCTTGTAAATCATTGCTATGGTTTAAATAGCTTGTTACAGACAATCCAACAGATTTTCATCTTGTTTAATGTGGACTCTGTTGGCTAGCTGTCTGGTTGTACTAGGGGTCCCGTATTTGTGCAGCCTGTGGTACAGTTTTGTATTGGGTATTGACTTAGTATGGCCAGTATTTTGGCACAGATCTCTACTTTGTATGCGCTCCATACATCCGGTGTATCAGGTTCCATTTTTGGCAGCTGCATATAACCTTTTACTTTTCTGATTTGTAGCACTGCTCACATCCGTTTTAAGTTTCATAAGGGTCTGCACAGAGTCAATATCAGTGTTCACATCTGGCCTCTGTGCTTGCATCCTGTACGAGGTGTACAAAACCAATATGGACCCTGTGCTGACACATTTGGCTCCCAGACCAAGGGACGAGAAGCCTGTGCCTTTAAAGCATGACTTTTATCCCAAGTTCATTGGTCCTTGTACAAATTGTTGAATATGTCATTGCCAACCTTTGCCCATTATTGGTCTGAGGTATCACCCAGCATTCACTATCAACACAGATACTAGAAAGCACAAGCCATGCTACACTGCATGCTTCCATGCTTTGGACACGCATACCAGTGAAAGGAGTTGGTTACAAATCAATTGCACTCACAGTGGTAGAGCCACATCTACTAGTACCCCTACACTCGGACACCCAACATCTGTTGTATTTGGCAGTAGAAAGGATGGGTTCCTTCCTGTGGACTCCGCTAGGCACCTGACATTTTCGTACACCCATACATAGATGACTAGTTTCTGCATTACCTTCAGTACACACTGCCGTGCTTGAGACCACGAGTATATGTAACCGAGGTAAATCTGAGTTAGTATAACCAAATGAATGACTGACTGACTTGCCTAGGAATGGGAATGGACTTGTACAGTGCAGTCTTCTGCCCGGTGGGCAAACACTGCAACAGAATAGGGCAGTGTGCATCTTGAATAATGACATGAACTTCTACCATACTATGAATGATCATTGGCATAATGTCATCTGTAAGAGAACCAGATCACTTCAAAACTTTCGATTGGACAAGGTGTTTGGACCTTCCTGTGAACTTGCCAACCAATTGTGGGGAACTTCTAGTCTGGTTGACCAACCTCAATCCCCTTTTTGTCAAGGTTTCCTTTCAAACCACACTTGCCAAATGTGTTAATTTTGTCAGATGCATTAGACATTGGCTTCTGGAATGACAGATCCAAATGTCCAGACACAACAACTGTAAAGAGCTATAAAAACAGTTCAACTTGCTATTGGGTCCTTTCTGTCGAAGTCAATGACAGAACAGTTCACTCGAGATTTGACAATATTGTTAACAAGAACAAAGCGCACAGTAATTTTCTCGTGGTGCATTCAACACATCTCACTCCAGGCTCAATCATGTTCAATGTCCAATTAAAAATTTCCAGTTAGGCTAGAATTGTGGTTATACCCAAATTAGTTGAACAATATCTAACTATTATCCAAATAGTGTAACTAATTGATAGTGACAAACAATAGAACTGGCTAAAACTGGCAGTTCTTCTGTACATGCTTGTATCATGGCTGTGTTGTCTTGTGCTTGCGTAAATGCCAGAGGTGTCAACAAGTCATATTTTAACGATTCAGTATACAATACATAACAAATGTTTGCATGTTCTTCTATTGGAGATACACTTCGATTAGAGCAAATACGGTAGTTACTCATCTCGTCATATACATGTCTATCTGCAGATGTTCCAGTGGAAATAACGCCGATCTGCAATCATCACTTGATATATTCTCTGACAAACTACAATGGTCAATATGTGTATATAAAATAGTAAACATGTTAGAACTCAGATTAAAACTGTTCTATATATGACTTAGTAGTAGTTTTGGTTCACCATCTCTGTCATGTCATATGTATTGGGATGTCTTCTCTGTGTAATGTGGTCGAATGCAAAATTGCTTAAAATAAATAAAAAAATATTATGAACATCATGTTGTAATTTGCCTGCAGTTTAGATGAATGATGGTATACAAGGAAAAAATAGTTTTGTGAACTTGTCAGTTTTAGACTTTGCTTTGTTATTAAGTGTGATTATTTCTTGAACAAGTTTGTTTCGGGTGTATCTTGTATGCGTAAATACATTAATAATTCTGGCTTCACTCATAGAGCTTTCTGCAACACCATTAGTAATTCGTGTATTCAGACTCAACTTACTGTTGAGCATGTCATTGGGACACGATTACTCACAATTTGTTGATTTCTGACTCAACGTAATTGATTGGCTTGACCATTGTTTCATATGTGAGAATATAAAAGTGTATGCTAAATTCATACAATGTCTGTCACCATGGTATTTTGAATAGACGCAAGCAAGTTGCATAGTTTTCTTCATCTAAGCAAACAAATGAGTGCCTTGGAAATAAAAAATTCAAGCATTCACTTCAAAAGGATATGTGTGCATTTTCATTTTTTTACTTGGACTTAATGAAGATTGCAAAAGTGTGCCAGGTGTGCTAATAGTATGTTGAATATATTTGAATATCCCCGTAGAGGCGGTGTTTACACCTGCGTGCTGTACTGTGCTATG